ACCAGCGGTCAGGTATCTGTGTGTGTGTGTGTGTGTGTGTGTGTGTGTGTGTGTGTGTGTGTGTGTGTGTGTGTGAGAGAGAGAGAGAGAGAGAGAGAGAGAGAGAGAAAGAGAGAGACACAGAGAGAGAGACAGAGACAGAGAGACAGAGAGACAGAGAGAGACAGAGAGACAGAGAGAGAGAGACAGAGAGAGAGAGACAGAGAGAGAAAGCAGTGGGCAGGCCACCTCCGGGGCTTCCTCTCTGGGGAGCAGAATGGGGGAGGAAGGGGAAACCGCCAGAGACCCAGAGACAAAGAGACAGGCAGAGAGGACAGAGACCAGAGGAGAGGGGATGATCAGAGCGGGCGCATAGAGCAGGAAGAGACAGCCCAGACCCAAAGTTGGACATTTCTCGCCTGGGATTCAAACTCAAGGGACTCCAGTCGTCCCAAGAGCCAAGGGCTCCAGGGTCTGGGTGAACAGGGGTGAAGCTGCTCCTCAGCCCAGCTCGGCTGCCCGGAGGCCTCTTCTGGTCCTCAAGGCCCCAGCACCCCAGCTCCCCTATCCCTGGGGCAGGCCCTTCCCGCCACCCCAGAGGCCCGCCCAGCCCAGAGACCTACCTCTCAGCCTTAGTCACTACGCTGGGCTGGGGGTCCCCGCCGCCTAAGATGTCGGGCTGTCCTTTACCTGGGGCCTCCTGGCCCCAACAGCTCGAAGAGTGCAGACAGCGATCAGAGGCTGTCTAGTCCCCTTCGGGCGCCGCGCCTCACTCCGCAAGGCATCTCTGTGGAAAGTTTGCGCTCCGGAAAAGAGGGAACCCCCGCCTTCTTGGTAGAGCCCAGGCTCGGCCTCTGAAGCACCAAGTGTCTCTGGGCTGATGCGGAAGGGGACGATTCAGCCCCCAATCCTCCAGGTGGAGCCGCCTCGGTGGTCGAGGCGAGTGGGTCTCCCAAGTCTCCTCTCTCGTGGTATCGCTAGGTCTCTCCACTGCTCAGCTCCTCTCGGTTCTGTCTCTCAGTCTCTTTCTGGGCTGTTGACAACCCCCACACCAGGAAGTCCTGCCTCCTCGGGCCTGCTGACTACTCCTCTCCTCCTCCTCCTTCCCCTCTTCCTCCCCTTCCTCCGCCCTCTCTCCCTCCTGGGGCTCCCTGCCAGCTGGCGCGGGGCCAGGCCTGCCACCGCCGCTGCTGGTGCAGTTGCCGCTGCTGCTCCTACTGCTCCTGAGGCCACGACCAGGCTCCCTTAACCCCACACCTGCACTGCCCCAGCCCAGCTCTTCCCCGGAGGGAGGGGCTGTGGAGGGCGGAGAGAAAGGGGAGGAGCCTGCCTTACTTGTAGGCACTTACCGCCATTGGCCCGCAGACACACAGAAGAGTAGGGAGGAACTGACCAAGAGCACTACTGGTAACTGCCACCCCAGTAAGTACCCAGTAAATGTTATGCTGCAGCTGCAGCTGTTATTGCTATATCTTCGCTGGTTTTCACAATCACTGTATGAGGAAGGTACTATTATTCTCCTGCTTCTATTTTTAAAAAGTGGATTATTATGACAGTTTTCAAACATGCAGTAGAGAGAATGATATAATGGACACCCAGATATCCATTACGCAGTTTCAACAATTATCAACTCCCAGCCAATCTTGTTGCATCTATACCTTCAATATCTTCTGTTGTACTGTGCTGGAGTATTTGAATCAAATCCCAGACATCATATTATTCCCCTTCTTAGATGTGTAGAGACCCAGGAGGTTCAGAAAAGCTGTCAGTGGTAGAGCAAAGGCATTCCACACACTCAGGTGTGTCTGGCCCCCATACAGAAAATGACATCACATATGCATGTACCCACAATCTGCATGCACTCACACAGATGCACCTAAGGACGAACCACTGGCCCCAATCATATACTCCTCTCCCACTCCTCACCTGTCTCATCCCATTCTTTGCTCACTATGGAGAATACACACACACTCATAAAGGGCTGACAATATGCTTGGCTTGAAAGAATAAACCTCCAACTCCCATTGTCTCTTTTTTGGCACCCCAATCAACATTCTGAAAGGAATTATTTTAGCAAAAGCCACCTCTGCCTTTGCTTCTGGGTTCAGAAAAAAAAAAAGGATTCTAATTAATTTTGATCAACTAGAACTATTCTCGAGTATATGAAAAAGTCCCTATATTTGTCCACTTCTCATAATTATCTTGTGGATTCTCAGAACAGCCCTGGGCAAAAATGGGGTGGGTTTTGAGCTTCAGTGTTTCTGCTAAGGAAACTGAGGCTCAAAGGAATTCAGTTACTTGCCAATCTCAAAGCTAGTATTTGATGGCAATGAAACTAGCACTGAGCTGTCTAATACATCCCTCCTTTCTCAGCTTTAGCTAATGGAAATTTTTAACTAATCTTTAGGATTAGGCAAAAATGAAATGATGCAAAGCCCCTTGCCCCCTCGTTTATGTTTACCCTTTATCCCTCTTCGTTAAAATGCATTTGCACACCTACCTCTCTCTCTTCATGATAACAATGGCTGCAGGTCCTGAGGCCACCCAAGTCCTGAGGGGTCCAGGAAGCACACACACACACACACACACACACACACACACACACACACACACCCTCAACTCTCTTCCCTCTGGCATTATTCAGAACACATCACTGCTGCTCCGCCCCCAGATTCTCCTTCCTGCAGCGCCAACTAGTTACAAACTATTCAAAACCTATCCTTGGACCCTCCCCTTCCCACCCCTCAGACACTTTGCATCATCTTGGACTCCTCCCTGGGACATTGTTGGGCTCTAAGGAAAAGTGTGTTGAATCAATAAGTAAAAACTCATTCACACTAAGGTGTAAAAGTGAAAGGACTGTTAGTGTTTTAATGTGTTACTTCTCCCGGGAGCATTTATAATAGCCTTTAATTAATGGGGCCTCTTCCACTTACAAACCACGTTGTATTCATTACTTTACTACCCCCAACATTACTGAGGTAGGTATGAGATGAGGCATCTCTCAGAGAGCTTGCGATGTTTACCCAAAGCCACACAGCACATCTGCAAAGACTGCCATATAAAGGTTCCAGAGATTAGGGCATGGGTATCTTTGGGGGGGTCCATTTTTCAGCCAGTTAAGGGTGGAAGCGAGGTTTTCTTGCAGCTAAAATGCACCAAATGTAATTCTGAGGGAGAAATTTCTCTGGGAGCAGATGAGAAAGGTGATGGAGGGAAGAGGGCTAGGTCGCATTTCTCAACGATCGCAGAGGCCGCACCCAGGCTGTGGCCACGAAGGTCGCAGAGACCAACCCAGAGTGCCGAGGTCCTGACCCGCACCGCCGCGGAGTCAGAGGTTATGGTAAGGATGACTTGGGCCTCGGGGGCGGACACGCGTAAGACTTTGAGCCAAGCGTTGAAACAAGGTCCAGGCCCCTGGGAAACTGCAGGGATAGGTAGGCACCAGCACCAAGTGAACAAGCTCCGGTGCCCTCCCCACACCTGGGGGGCGGTGGGAAGATGGGGCGCGGCCAAGGGCGCACGCCCCCTGCTGGGCAGAGACACAGATAATCAGGCTCCAGACTCTCAGCTCCCTTCGGCCCGGAAAGCGGCCCCCCCTGCCGGCCTCGTCGCCTCACTGCATTCTGGGCCCAGCAGCCGCAGCCTCGTCCGGGCCCACGCGGGGTGCGCAGCCCCGGAGCGCCTGGCGCACGCGGGATGCACGCGGGTGCAAGCCTCGGGCTGACGCTGGGGGGCGCTGCTGCGCGCTGCGCCCCGCTTCACTCGGCCAGTGCCTTGGACACTGAACCCAGCATCGCCCGGCCCAGCAGGGGGCGAGAGGTGGCGAGAAGTGGATGCCCCAAAGTGAGGGCGGGCTGACACCGGGTCCCCTGAGCCCCACTATCCTTCTCCGAGTTCCCTCATGTACTCCGCGGCCCCCGTGACCCCCACCCCAGGCTTGCAGCGCCGCGCGGTGCGGCCGCTCGGGCTCCGTCCTTGAAGGGTGTGGAAGGGTGGGTTTGGGGCCGGGGGCGGGTCTGGGGGCGGACCCGGAGGCGGGGCTGTCTCTGCGGCAGGGCCCGCTCGGCTTCCCCCGGTCTCCCTCTGTCTCTCCTCCCTCCTCCTGCTCCGGGCGGAGCCCGGCATGGGGGGGCCGGCGTCCGGCAGGCCAGGTACGGTGATGTAGAAATTGGGGAGGCTTGGTGCGGGGAGGTGGCATGGGGGAACCAGGGGAAGGGAAGATTGGCGGGGCGAGAGAAAGAGAAACCCAGGGTAGCGGGACAAGGGGAAGGGGAGGGTTGTCCGGGAGCCTGGGGCCCTGGGATGGAGAGGGAGATGGAGCTGGCCAGGTTTGGAACAAACATGGAAGGGAGAGGACAGGCAGTGAGGAGGGGCGCCTGGGAGGAGGGGTGAGGCTGAATCGCAGGATAGTGTGTTTGGGGGAAGGGAGACCAGAGCAGGTATGGAGGCCGCTGCTCAGAAGGTAGCTATGGGACCAGGTTGGAGACCCCCAGGTGGGATTGAGGGGCGGGGACTGGAAGAGGGTAGCCGGGAGTCTCTCAGATCCTGGAGGAGGAAGAAGGTGATTTGGGCCATCAGAGAGAGAGGCAGAGAACATCGCTGAGGGGCCAGGGCACAGGAAGAGGGGTAGACAGAAGCCGGGGCCAGACGAAGAACTGGAAGGGAAGACAGCGGGGGATGGAAATATTTGGATGGTATTATTGTAGATGCCCAACTCAGAGTGCTCCCACCCTTTCTCCAATATTCCTGCCCTGCCCTCATGACACCCTCCAGCCTCAAGGCCCAAGAGGGAGTGAGGAGTCTGACTGTTCCCCCTTTTCCAATGGGGTGCAATGTACACAAGTAGGCCCAGGCATAACTCCTTGTCTGTTGGTATGTCCAGTTCCATGCAGCCTATTTGTCTGTCTGGAGGTCTGTGTGTGCTGTGGGTGTGTCAGGTGTTTATGTCTGTTTATGTCTGCCTATTTCTAGGTTGTGTTTACCTACGTCGATCTATGTGTCTAGTCCTCTGTTTGTAGATATGGGTCTATGGCCCTGTGGTTTGTGTGTTTGAATGTATGTTTATGGGTCCTGTCTGTGGATCAAGATGTATTTACAGGATGGAAATCTGTATTCATCTGATCTCTCCAGAGTGTGTAATTTTGGCTCTGAACACCTATATCAGGATGTGTGACTCTGTGTACACATGTCCGTGTCTATTTGTCTGTGGGTTCCAGAGGCAGTGTTGGGTTTTCTGTACTTCTATCTTTTTATCTCTCTCTGAGGCCCCGAGTCATGTCTCTGTTCCTTTCTGTCTCTCTCATTCATTCTTGGCCCCCACCCGTCCCACATCTTTCTTTTTTTCTTCCCATCTCCCCACCACAAGTGGATCCGGGACCCAGGGAGGGTCGCCCCCCGGGCCTGGCAGCATTGAGCAGGGCCCCCCAGCCCCCACCTCCTGCCCCACGACATGAACCTCCTCTACCGAAAAACCAAGCTGGAGTGGAGGCAGCACAAGGAGGAGGAGACCAAGAGGAGGTAAGGTTGTGTCCTGGACTGCTCCCTCACCTGCCCACCTCTGCCTCCCCCTTGCTGAGCCACATCCCTTCTGCCTTTTCTGGGTCCAACAGCCTGGTCATCAGTCTGATCTCAAGAGTCTGTACTCAGTACAGAATTGCTGGAATGGCACTCACCCTGTCCCCACCCTGCTCCTGGCTCAGCCCCTGTTATGGCCTCTTGGGGGGCTTCCAGTTCAGGGCACCTTGTTGGCTCTACTCCATCCCCAGAGGCACGAGTCACTCCTTCCTGACTCACTTCTGGCCTGTGGTCTTCTCCTCTCTGTCAGTTTGGGGCTGGCTCCTTCCTCCCCTGTCACCTGACCTTGGAAGGGGCAGACCCTGCTGCCCTCATGATCCAGGGACAGGGTCATTTGAGGGGCACCAGGGAAGATCCATTTGGCCCCCTCTCAGCCTCCTCCGCTTGGGGAGGAGAGCAGCCAAGTGACAGAGTTATGTGTGTGTGGTGGGAGACATGCAGTGGGCTCTGCAGAAGAACCAGTGCTGGGGACCCCTCCCTGCTTGCCCTCTCTCCTTGCCCTCCCCGAGACCTGGGGCCTGGCCTCTCCCTTCTTGCTTCCTTCTCCTCTTCACTCCCATTGACTGCACAGCCTCTTGGAGCCTGAGTCAGAGCCACCTCCCTGCAACTGTGGAGTTTAATTCTTGTTGTTAATTAGATTAATCAGAGCTATCACTGCAGCGATCTCTCTCTAATGAAGGGTTAGTTAGATGGGGCCTTAATGAAAGCCCACCCCACAGCAGCTCTTTCCTCTTTCCTGCCAGCCACCCACCCTTTACTCAGAAGCTCAGGGACAGTGGAAGGGAATGGGAGTGAGCCTGGGAGGGCGGCAGAGAGATAGGACAACACTGAGGGGGAGAGAGAGAGACCAAAGGAGGAAAAAGGATCAGTTGGGGGAGGCTGCTCTGGCGATGCTGCGGTACAGCCGGTATCTGGAGAGGAAGCGTGGTGTGGTATGGAGTGTAGTAGGCTGCAGTAACTGGACATGGGGGAGGCCAGAGGCCAGGTGTAGGCCAATGTGAAAGTGAAAAGGAACGGAGCTGTTGGGGCAGATGTGGAAGCCAGGCAGAGCTGTGCTGCATCAGTTTGCATCTCTCTGCCTGTGTATGAAGCTGTTCACACATGTGCCATGTGGCAGATATGCCCAAGCTGGGATCAGCCAGCTCTCCAGGATGCTCCCCTGCACACATACTCACCCCTTCTCTCATCCCTACCCCCATTGCCTTTTTTAAAAAGGTAGAGATTCTGCCTGAAGCTTCTACTTCAGTGGCTTGGACCATCAGGCTTCCCCCAGCCCATCCCTGTCTCAGGCCCCCTTCTTCCCTGGGAGGCCACAAAGTTGCAAACCCCTCTTGAGGTGGAGAAAGGGGAGGCCCAGGCCTGAGATCCAACCTCTGCTCCATCTTGACCTTCTCTTCTCAGCTCCAGTAAGGAAGTGGCTCCCGGAGGCCCGGTGGGGCCTGGGGCTGGTCCGGGGCCTGGAGTTCGAGTGCGGGATATCGCCTCACTGCGCCGCTCCCTCAGGATGGGCTTCATGACAATGCCTGCCTCCCAGGAGCACACCCCCCACCCCTGCCGCAGCGCCATGGCCCCACGCTCCCTCTCCTGCCATTCGGTGGGCAGCATGGACAGTGTGGGAGGTGGGCCTGGGGGAGGCGGTGGAGGTCTCACCGAGGACAGCAGCACCCGAAGACCCCCAGCCAAGCCTCGGAGACACCCCAGCACCAAGCTCAGCATGGCAGGGTCAGGGGCAGAGATGCCCCCTAGCAAGAAAGCAGGTGAGACACCCCATCCCTCTGCAGAGGAAGCTGGGAGCTGAGAGGATCCATTCTAGTCCAGGGGAGGCCCAAGAGGGTTCATTCAGGGAAGAACCAAGGAAATGGAAGGTTCCATTCTCAGAGGGAATGGGGGGTTTCATTTTGGAAAGGCTTGAGATGAATTATTCAAGGGCAGGGAAAGCACCCTGAAAAGTCCAGTCTTGGAAAAGGGGTGTCAGTCATGTCCTTGGACAGTGGGAGGGACTATAAGGTGTGAGCTGCAGATTCTGAATTAATTAGAAGGACTGAAGCCTGACTAGTAGGATAGGAACCCACTGAAGCTGTAAGTTGAGAGATGTGAGCAAAATGAAGAGGCAGATGTATCCTTGCAAATGGGTGAAAAGGTCAGAGAGGGTCTCCTCATTCCCTTCCCCAAGACTCCAGTTTATTTTTCTCTTTCCCATCCTTCCCAGGCTCACAAAAGCCAGCCCCAGAGGGCCGAGAGTCCATCCGGAAGGTTCCTCCACAGAAGCCCAGGCGAAGCCCCAATACCCAGCTCTCTGTCTCTTTCGATGAGTCCTGCCCTCCAGCCCCCTCTCCTCGAGGGGGGAACCTGCCCCTTCAGCGCCTCAGTCGGGGGTCCTGCATCACTGGGGACCCTGAGGTGGGTGCCCAGGAAGAAGAGCCAGTGTACATTGAGATGGTGGGGGATGTCTTCAGGGGAGGAGGGCGAAGTGGAGGGAGCCTGACTGGGCCCACTCTTGGGGGTGGGGGCCCAACCCCTCCAGCTGGTGCTGACTCGGACTCGGAAGAGAGTGAGGCCATATATGAAGAGATGAAGTACCCACTGCCTGAGGAGGCAGGGGAAGGCCGGGCCAATGAGACCCCTCCACTGAACACCACATCCTTGCCACATCAGCCTCATGCCCTCCAGGCCCACACCCACCGCCGACCATCCTCAGCCCTCCCAGGCCGGAGGGACGGGACGCCCACCAAGACTGCTCCTTGTGAAATCCCGCCACCCTTCCCCAACCTCCTCCAGCACCGTCCTCCGCTCCTGGCCTTCCCCCAAGCCAAGTCTGCTTCCCGAACCCCTGGCGATGGGGTCTCAAGGCTACCGGTCCTCTGCCACTCCAAGGAGCCAGCAGGCTCCACCCCGGCTCCCCAAGTGCCTGCCCGGGAGCGGGAGACACCTCCTCTACCGCCTCCAACTTCTGCTGCCAACCTGCTGCTGCTGGGACCCTCAGGCCGGGCCCGGAGCCACTCGACACCGCTGCCACCCCAGGGCTCTGGCCAGTCCCGGGGAGAGCGGGAGCTCCCCAACTCCCACAGCATGATCTGCCCCAAGGCGGCAGGGGCGCCGGCAGCCCCTTCTGCCCCGGCAACCTTGCTCCCCGGCCCCACCAAGGACAAGGCTGTGTCTTACACCATGGTGTACTCAGCAGTCAAGGTGACCACGCACTCCGTCCTGCCAGCTGGGCCGCCCCTGGGTACTGGGGAGCCGAAGACGGAGAAGGAGATCTCAGTCCTCCATGGGATGCTGTGCACCAACTCGAGGTCCCCTGTGCCAGGGAAGTCCAGCCCCCACAGTGGGGCTATGGGCACAGCAGCTGGAGTTCTCCATCACCGCAGCTGCCTGGCCTCCCCACACAACCTTCCGGACCCAACTGCAGGCCCCCTGACCCCACTCTGGACCTACCCAGCTTCCGCAGCTGGGCTCAAGAGACCCCCTGCCTATGAGAGCCTCAAGGCTGGGGGGGTGCTGAATAAGGGCTGTGGAATGGGGGCCCCATCCCCCATGGTCAAGATCCAGCTGCAGGAGCAGGGGACCGATGGAGGTGCCTTTGCCAGTATCTCCTGTGCTCACGTCATCGCCAGTGCGGGGACACCAGAAGAGGAAGAAGAGGAGATGGGTGCCTCGACATTTGGGGCAAGCTGGGCTCTGCAGAGGAAGGTCCTGTATGGAGGGAGGAAAGCAAAAGAACTGGACAGTGAGTGAGGGGGGTTGGGGAGGAATGGGGATGTTCGTGGTGATTTGGGGGAGGCCTTGGAGAGGTTATTTGGAAGCCATGGTCCATTGTCCTGAACTGGGAAGTTTGGGGGAGATCAGAGGGAGGGGGCATGTAGTGGTCTGAAAGGATGAGGTCCCCATGTGTGTGCTGGAGGGGCAGGACGATTTAGGATGGAGGTCTAGAATATGGCCCCTAGAGCAGCCTCTTCCTCTTACCCCGTCCTGCTCTACTCCCTGCCCCTCCTTTAGCTGGGCTGCAGGGGTGTGTGTTTGTGAGTGTGCCACACTAGGAGCTAAACACAGCTGCCTCCCAGCTGTTACCATGGCAACCCATCCAGACAGGAGGGAGAGGAGAGGGAGGCCCCTATAGTTGCCTGGCAACCCAATGCTCTGCCTGGCCTACTCACAGATGAGCTTAGTTCATGGGCAGCCCTTCCCCCCAACTCCACCCCCCCACCCCCCTGCACCACCACCTACTTCTTGGCTAGGATTTGGGATTCTCCTCCTCCTGGAGAATAGTGCCCCTTGTCTGTTTCCAAGGGTGGTCATTCTAGCCTTAGAGGGGGCTGGAGGGGCTTGGAAGCTAAAGCTGGTGTATGCGAGACTCCTCTGACAAGGGAAAAAGGTTTAGAAGTAGCCAATACCTATAATTCTTAGCCCAGGGATGGTACCAATGGGTGTAATGCAGTACTGGTGTCCCTCCTGTGTGTGTACAAGCTGGGGGAGTCCCACCCTTCCCAGCTGTGACTAGCAAAGGGACAGTTACTTTTGGTCCATCCATACCGTGTGTGTGTGTGTGTGTGTGTGTGTGTGTGTGTGTGGAGTTGGGGGGACAGCAAGACCCCTCCCACATACAGGCACTGAGCTCTCCTTGTCATCCCAGCAGAAGTTGAAGATGGTGCCCGGGCCTGGAATGGCAGTGCTGAGGGTCCAGGCAAGGTGGAACGTGAGGACAGGGGCCCTGTGGTATCAGGGATCCCAGTGAGGAGCCAGGGGGCAGAGGGCCTGCTGGCCAGGATACACCATGGAGGGGACCGAGGAGGGAGCCGCACAGCGTTGCCCACCCCCTGCCAGACCTTCCCAGCCTGCCACCGAAATGGAGGTGACATCCTGCCCTCTCACACCTATACATAGATGGGGTGGGCTGGAGGGAATCTCCCAGGGTCCATGTCCTGAGACCTACATCCTAACACCACATCTCCATCCCCTTTCCTCTGAA